TGTCATAGAGCATAGCATTTCTTTCTTCTCAGAGTTCAGCTTGGATCTACATACATTTTAGGGACTTGGGGTCTGTTTGAAACTTTGAAATGTGAATAAAAAGGTTTCAGGGTGCTATACTGATATAAAATATTTTTGGATGGTTTGAAGTTTTATTTGCATGTAGTATTAATTTTGTCATTTCAGGCTTGTCTTCTCTCTCTCTTTGTTCCTATCAATATGTGTTCATACGAAACATTTTAATGCCAACAGTTGTGTACTTGGGAAATTTTATCTTGGAAACATTCTGTAGGGTATCCAGATCCGTCATCCTTCCCTCTGAACCCCAGTTTTTGATTGATCCAAAGTGGCTTATACCTGAAAAACTTCAATGTTATTACTGTTGTTGACTTGTTGGGTGTATCTGATTCAGGAACCCTAATCCAGATGCTGTCCTAGTTGTGCAAACACCAGAAAGGCCTTTTTTGTCTTCCAGAATGTTGCTTCAAGACCATAATCAAGGGAGAAACTTCAAAGGTTCAAGGCTCATTTCTAAAAGAGTTGAACTTCCTGACCCATTGCCTTCAAACTCAGAGCAATTTGACCCCCTGTCTTCTGCAAGATGCCGGATATATTCGAGGTCCAAGAATAAGGTATTCTTGTCTTGCTTGTTGTATTTCCTGGTATAATGGTTTGTTTGTCACTGGTTCAAGTATATTAATTGTGGCTTTTCTACAGTATTACTGAATATGTTGCAATCACTGAGGTCACCTCTATCATTATCATATGTGCTCGCTCTTGCTCATTTATCATATTATCTTTTTTTTTTCTTCCAGAAAGCAGGTGAAGAGCCAATATTCCATCGGTTAATGGGGCCAATTCATCATGATATAACTAAGATTGACAATATGAATTCTTTCAAGGTAATTTTATGCTCTCTGCTGGGTGCTGGCCCATGGTTATGGTACATATTTTCACTTATGCTTTAGTATTGTGATTAAAGGAAATTTTTGGTCTACATAACTAGCTTGATGAAAGTCTATGTTTTTTAAATATGCTCTACAGGAGGGTAACAATTCAAAACAGTTCTCTTCTTTCAAGGAGCGCCTTCGTCAATTGCAGGCAAGATTCTCTTCTCTACCTTTTATTGTTAGCGCTTATGTTTGGATGTCTTAATAATAATTTCAATGGAACAGAGTACAGAGAATCAGAGGGTTTGTTTTGGCAAATCTGGAATTCATGGATGGGGTCTTTTTGCACGTCGGAGTATTCAAGAAGGAGAAATGGTATTGTGATGATAATTATTATATATTCTCATGTAAACTTCTTTTCTTAATTTTAGAACCCCTCTTACTGTATTGTCTGGAACAATTTTGGGGATTATTGATGGATGTGACTGGGACATAATTGGGCAGACCTAGACCTATGTGTGGGCTTCTTTTTATTTATATATTTTATGTTAACCACACTGCATTATAAGTTTTCATTTCAATGAGTCCAAATCCAGAAGTATAGTTATACTCCTCAATTTGCAAATGAAGATAAATATATGTGGAATTTAGCTGGAGGTGTTAAATGGGTCAGTTTGGGTTAGGTTTGTTAAGGGATCATGTATGGGTTAGGTTTGTTAAGAATTTACGTGGTTTGGGTTGGTCAACAGCTTAGGTCATTTTTGGGTCTATTGTGAATTAGCTTGTTATGAAAATAGATCAATTCCAATTATATTTCTTTGGATTGGGTCAGATATGGTGTTGGTGTCAAGTTCAGATAAACCCAAACTGATTATTTAATAGAATTGAGTTTGGAAATGACTGGAATTAGGTAGTGCTATTGATGGAGAACAGGAGATGGAGAAAGCAATTGGGGAGCTAGTAAGAGTGGGGTTGTATGAACTTTTTATACTTAGGTTGTGCTAGTTCAAAGGGGCTAGGTCATGGCCATGGCTGCTAGGCTATTGCTTTCTTCACATAAATATTTGATTCCTGACTTGGGAGTCAATTTATCTTTTACTTGATAAATGGCTAGACTGCCCTGGGGTCAGGCTTTGATGAATCAAAAAATAGGCTCGGTTCTGAGGTGTTGGGTCTGAACTGTCCGGTTGGCCTTCTTTTAATTTTTATTTCTTCAACTGGAGAACTGGACTGTTGAGGAGAAGGATTTTTATGTTCTTTATATAAGATAAAGTTTTAAAAGTGTTGGCTGATTGAGAAACTTGTTTTCAGGTCCTTGAGTATCGTGGTGAACAGGTGAGGCGCAGTGTTGCTGACTTACGAGAGGCACAATATCGCCGAAGTGGAAAAGATTGTTATGTAAGTGAAAGGCGTTTTTATCAGTTTTTCCTGCTCTTGCTGTTTGATATCAGCTGTATTACATAAGCCGATGTGTGGAATCAGCATAGGGGCTATATCTGTTGTCTTGTCCTTGGCTTATATAGCAAATGAGCTTGTAAAGTGATACCTTTTGCTTTTAGTTCATGCAAGGATTAAGTGAATAGCAAAGGTGCTACATGCCTTTTGTAACACAATGTTTGTGGATTACCTGCTTTTTACCATTCGGGACCTTTGGTTATGGCATTTAGAAAAGGCAGAAAGCTGTGTGCTATTGAAGGGCTTAAAGAGTGGCATGTTTGTATCTGTTCACTATTTGCCATAAAAATATTCTGGTACAGTTGTTGAATTGCCTGAATGATTCTGTTGAGTGTGTTATACTCTTTAAATTACTGGTTGCTTTGGTCTCAAATGAATATTATACCTCTTACTGTAGAATATCGTGCAACATTTCTGGCCAAACATCAGTTAGCAATCAATTTCAAATTCTGTGCATAATTTTCAATTGTATGTATTTTGCAATGGTAGGAGTAGTAATTTTCTTTTGTTTTTGCAGCTGTTTAAGATCAGTGAGGATGTAGTAATTGATGCTACAGACAAGGGAAACATTGCTCGCCTAATCAACCATTCTGTAAGTTCATTGTCCTTTTTTTTTTACACTATCCTGTTGTAGTTATGCAGCTTTACATGTTATGATTTTTTCTGATCCATATGTTTATGGAATTGGAATATAATGTTCCTATATTTGATTTAAAGGTTGCTCACAGTTTCAGGTATTGAATGTGATAATCTTTTAACAATAACATGCATACATTATTGAACGTGGCTCTGAATTTGAAATAAATCTGAACTGTCATTTATTGTTTGTGGCTGGCTCTACTTGAAAAACAGTTGCCAAACATATGTCCCTTTTTGTACGGAGCTGTGTGATTCTTCATGATTAGTTGATTTGCCCCTTCATTCCTTTATAAGAATATTTGTATAATCATGAATTACACAATATATTTAACCTGATGAGATCATTTTGTTTTTCACAGTGCATGCCCAACTGCTATGCTAGGATTATGAGCGTGGGTAATCAGGAAAGCCGAATTGTGCTTATTGCCAAGATTAATGTCTCTGCTGGTGATGAGCTCACGTATGCAGTTTTTCGTGATTTGACTTGTTTTGATTGTTTATTTTTGCCTTCTTACTTTCTACGGACTACTGTTTTGAGAAACTACGAGTAGAGTTCTCATTTAATAAGCTTCTTTACCTTTGCAGTTATGATTACTTGTTTGACCCTGATGAACGTGATGAGTCAAAAGTCCCTTGCCTTTGCAGAGCTCCTAACTGCCGCAAATTCATGAATTAAACACCAATATTTTTGCCATTTACAAGCTTAGAAGAAATAACAGAAGTTTTACAGGCATAGATAGAGTTAAATGAACTGACACATCACACATGTGCTAACTTATGGAAGAACCGTCATTACTAAAGTTCTAACGAAGAAGTTTGCTCATCACCCTTCTTCATCTCTTGTGACAATACTATTGTAAATTTACCAAGTTGTGGCATAGATAGCTATTGATGGTGATGATTTTGTATACGAGTTCATTCTTCGAATGTAAATAGAATTATTAATTTTTTATGAGTAATATTCTTTGTAATATCCCAGACTCGTATCATATCTTGTATAAATGTGGTAATTGTACCTGAATTAATTTTGCCAGTCTAATATCATATCTAGTATAGGTTTCTCTGTTTTGCTTCATTCTCCTATTCTTTTTTTCTCCTTTCTATTTTGGTAGTCCAAAACCATTTGATCTTAACATTGATGAAGTCTGAAATGTGCAAGGATAGATTGCACTTGTACAAGGATAACATTTATGAGTTCTGAGGGGGAATCTGTTAATTGTTGAAGTCGGGGGTAAAAGGGTGTTCATTGGTTTTAGGTACGTAAATTGTGAAAATACTACCCATTTTCGAAATGATTACCCAAAACGAAATACACATTGATCCATGTACCATATTGATCTTTCAGATTAGATATTAAATCAATATTGGAGTAGTTTTGGACAACCTTACATTATAAGTTGTAATTACTGGATAGCAAGAATTTACAAAGCAAATACCCACTTAGTATGGCATACTTCAAATGTTGGCATAGGCGCTGTATGTCATGATCTAATGCCATAGATGCAAGGACTAGTAGTCGCAATGACACGACTTGTGCGTAATGGGCAAGTCATAGTCTATCCTAGGCTTGAGGATCCAATTTTTTTTATCCAAAATGTAGAAGGAAATTAAGAACTTTTCCCGCTCTTAAAAACTATACAAAATACTCAATCTCGAGCGTTTTTATTCCAAAAGACATTCTTACCTAAACCACCCCATGGACTATATCTTAAAAATTATGAATACTGTATCAAAATTGAGCATATTGCCCAATGCCAAAATAGGGGCAAATTTTTAGACCAAAAAAAAAAAAAAAAAAAAGGGAAACGGCGTCGTTTTGATATAACAGCAATGATGAGTAAGGGTCCCATTTCCGTTAAAACAAATTCAAAAAATACCACACTTCTCTCACTCCCGCGTCTTTCTGTATAAATACATAGTTCCTTCTCAAACTCTTCACAATTCAATCACATTCATTTCATTTCAAAATTTTCTCTCTCATCAAACACTGCAAATCGCACTGCAATTCTGAAGAAAATGGGGAAACGATTGAAGAGAACTCTGCCTTTCTGCTCCTGCAGCTCTCCTCGTCTCTCTTCCTTTTTCTCTCTTCGTGCTTCTTTCGCCTGGTATCTCTCTTCACAATTGCATTTCTCTATAATAATTTCTGTAAATTTTGAGCTTCTTATTTGTAAACATTATTCTGTTTTTCATAATTTGAAGATTGAGCTCAGATTTACGAAAATTTATTTAGTTGTTGCGTTAAATTTGAATTATAGCGAAGCTGGATTTTGCGAGGGAAAAATGAGTAAAACTCTTACAATTGCGTTATTTGTAAAATTTTTGGTGATTTTGAGCTTGTAATCGTCGATTAATTTTATGATTTGATGAGCAAGCTCAATTTTTCGATAATCGGAGAAGTTTAGCGTTAAATTTGAAAATCAGTAAGCTGGATTTACGATGAAATTGTTTTTTACAAATCGGATTATCATTTAGTTTTACTGTATGATTTAGTCGTAATTTTGAGTTTCTAATCTGCAAATGCAACCTCTAATTATTTGATAATTTGAAATTTGAGCTGGAATAAGTTGATGAAATTTGAAAAATAGCGAGCTGAATTAACGAGCGAGTTTTGATTGAATCAATAGTCAATTCATGATTCTCATAATTTAAAAAGTTTTTTCAAATTTCAATCGATAATATCGATCTTCAAAACAATGTAGTTCAAAATTCTTAAGAATTATGCTCTGTTTTAACTGAGAAAAATTTGATATCACTACCTTGTAATTCAAGTTTTGTTCCAGAATCTTTGTGGATTGATAAATCTTACTCTTATCCGAGAATTTGAATTTCATATAATATCACAGTATGTATTTCGAGCTTATTCATATATCTGTTTAGCTAGTATGAATGCTGGTACTCTGCTTCAGAAACTTTTGTATGTGAATATGTGAAGATTGATTGAGTCAAATTTCAAATTCCAGTACAAATTTGGAGATCATACTATATATATTGAGCTATGTAATGTTTAATTGCGCTTATCATGTCGAAAACACTTCGAATTTACATCACATCCAAATCACTTTAGATTATATGCAAAATTACTAAAACTAATTTAAGCTTGATTTTACAATGTACTTAAGTATGAGTGATGTTATTGCGATAAGTCATGCACATTTTAATTGTCGCTTATGATGTCGAAAGTTATTCCACTGATTTTAAAAATAACTAGTAATTGTTAAGCGACGATTTTCTTATAGTTCAGCTAACTTCATGATTTAGCTCTCACAAAGAAAATGCATTAGTTGGAATCATTTTGTGTGTAATTATCTTTTCCTAAATCTTGATTATGTTTGAGGAATTGAAAGGTTCAACAATTGATTTTTGATGTTTGATTAGCATGATTTTGTGCGAATTGACAAGGACTATTTTATTTGAAGTTTCTGTAGTTTTGAATAATGGTTGCAAATTGAAATTTCTAACTGAATTTTGACTTTGTGCTCGAAAGGTTTGAGGATGATGTATGGATTGAGATAGCCAAGTACCTAGATGGAAGGTCTCTGGTGATGCTTGCCACTACCTGCAAATGGTTCTACAAGACTTTATCGGAAGAATGTGTGTGGAAATTTGCCTGCTTACGCGATCTAGCAGTTCCTGATCCAGGAGATGTGTCTTTTAAGTGGAAGAAACTATACGCATCAGCTTTTGGTGAGTGACAGTTTTCTTGAATATCTGCTTGTCTTACAGTAGAAATGTAGAATGTAGCATATATACTGTCAAAATAACTGTGTGGTGTTGAAAGCCTCACCTCACCTTGCAATTTTCTTGCAGATGGGAGTCACTCTTACTTGTTTCGCCAGCAGGAGAAACACATAGGTATTCCTCTAGATTCCCATCAGTATGACATCAAGTGCTAAGCATTGCATGTTGAAAATCTATTCAATAGATTATCTTGATCATGGAACAATGTTTCTTTTAGTCCATATAACCTTTTAGATTGATTGAAAGTTGGACTGCTGCTTATAATATCTCATGTGTTATTGGAAAATATAGATTGGATTCGGATTGGTGCATTTTTCCTAGAATCATCAGCAGCAATTGTGACAGAGAAGCTGACTAGTCCTCCCCGAAAGATCCCTCAGAAGGAGACTCTTGAACAGATGCTGCAATCTCTTGGCTTATGTGTGCTAACCAATATCAAAACTGGAATCTGGATTGCTGGTACATCAAACTCTTTTCATGGGATGTATATTGCTTCCTAAATAATGCCAATTAATTTTTCCAAATTTGCTAATCCTTGGCCTTACCAACTTCCCAGATCTGCAGCTCGTACGTTGCCCAGTCTGTGACCTTAATACATGTGATGGTGAGCAACCCAAAAATGCTCCCATTGAACCAAAACTATGAAAGTTAGTTTCTAGTGAAGATATGTTGATAAATGGTTTGTAACCAGTTTATATTTTGGCAATTTTAGGGACAATGCAGACACTAGATGCAAGGCATTTTGAGCTTTTCATGAATGAGAGTTACCATGATGGAAGCTGGGATTACTCACAAATCGGCTCACATGAAACCAAAAAACATGTAGATGGAGCTTCTGGTGCCATATTTGACGTGAAACACCTCAAAGATGCTTCCAGTGCTGGTGAGAATATGGATATTAATTAACATGTTTCAAACAATTTTGTTGTCCTGCATAATTGTACCTATATTGAGGCATTCTTCGAAGATTAAGCAAAAGACAAAAAAACACTGCAGCATAAAGTATTTTTCAATCAGCAATAGGAATTCATATATAATGAATTGAAGCTTGGCATCTTGCAGAGATTTTTAACCCCAAGTCATGGATCGGAAAGCAGAATGACTGGCAGCCAAAGGCTAAGCTCTCTCTTCATGCTGTTGCAGTCAATACAAATCTGCAGCTAAATGATGGTATTAAGTCTTTACCTTTGCATGCTCATTAGATCAGTTCATTGTTTCCTTTGTTCCTATGATTCCCTTAAATGTCTTGACTTCCTCGGCTTGATTAATTGAAACTACAACTGCTTCCTCTTTCTGTTCTGCAGGAATAAATGTCAAATTCCATGTCATGAGAGCTGGAACTGATGGCCAAATTATGGCGATAAGAGTCTCTCAGCAGCTTCTGTAAACTCCCGCTTGGCCATGAATGGAGTACCTTGTACAATTCTTTTTAAATGCTGCAGATCAATTTCTACTTGCAGTTTTGAGGCTAATCACCACCAGCTTTACTCACCACTCATTAGCGGTGGCTTGAACGATCATAGTCAATTTATCAGCTTCCATTAAGAAGCTAGCTAGGCACTAGGTTATATATATTAGTAAACTAAACAATGAAAGATTGTACTCATTATAGTCATACGTGCAATGAAATTGTGGATAGCAATTGTGTTGAGCTAAGCCGGTAAGGCAAGGCAGGAAGATTGATGTTGTGCTGTAAAACTCGAGATTACTAGAAATTTTTATGAATGCTCGCTTCTAAGATGAAGTGGCCGAGCAGTTGCTCTCCTTTCACTTGCTTGCTGCATCATACTACCATATTAGTTACATTATAATTTAGTTCTTCCTTGAATTTTATCAAAGTTAGATATGTCTCCTAGAGATTATAGCTTTCGGCGTCAAGAGTATTTGCAACTGCCAGTACAGCAGGATGATCCAGCACCAAAAATTCTGTTTTGAGAATTCAAACTGCATGGACCAGGAACATTTTTGTCAATATTCTACAATTTTGACCTTATATTTGTTTATAAGCTGCCTTCTAATTGTATCACTTTCTGTTTTTTCGATGTCCTTTCGTACGAATTGTCTTAACAGCTTATTATAGTGATATAAATACATGGTCAACATGTTCTCTAATATTGAAGATCTTTAAATATAGAAGGATCAGAATATAGATTACTCCTGCATAAGTATTTTAAAGGAGCTAATACATACAAGTTTGCACATCACCGCCATCTATATATCCATTACGCCATCACTGTATTGACTTTTACCAAAAAATTATAAATTAACTAATACTATGATTAGTTAAATACTTTGTCCTTGGCTAATTTTACTTCAATCAATATGATCCTCAAAATCCCAGAATACTTTTTATAGTTGAAAAACCTCTCAACATTCAACTGATGGGTTTCGTGCAGTTCTTTCCTTTCCTGGTCTTCCTCCTCCTTTTCATCTTGGCACCATCGGCCTATTCCTATTGCCCCATAACTACCTGCACTAACAACACCCTTACCCCTATCCGATTCCCATTCCACCTCGATGAGCAGAAGAACGAAAACTGCAGCTACCCCGGCTTCAACCTCCACTGCACAGACCGTGGTCACCCTGCTATAACTCTACCTCATTCTGGAGAGTTCTTAGTCCGTAATATAAGATATGATGCACAGACCATGCTAATAGACGACCCAGATAGCTGTCTCCCACAGAGACTTTTACAAGGTTTCGACCCCTCTGGATCACCTTTCCAAGCTGATTTTTATGTCGACTATACATTCCTTAGCTGCCCAAGAAGCTTCACAAATGCTGATTTTCATGTAATTGACTGTCTCAGCAATTCAACAAGATCAACCATCGCGATTTCTCTCAATGATCTTACAGATGATGTGTCGAGGTCTTGTAAGATAATTAAGACTTTACCAGTTCCTGCTTCAATATCTGCAAATGGTGGATTCAGTTCTAATCTTAGTGAAGATGTCTGGATTTCCTGGCATGTACCTGATTGCCTAGCTTGTGAGGAGCGCGGAGATGTTTGTGGGTATCAGAGCAATGGCAACCAGCAAATCGGTTGTTTCAAAAGTCTCAACAATTCAGGTAAAAACACTCTTTCCCCTGATCACCCTTTTACTTAAATCGAAATCATTCCACTTTTCTTCTTTTTTGCACTTCCATATAAGAAAGAAGCTGCAGACAACAGGACAGTCACCATATGAACAAGTCGTAATGTTTTAGTTAGCTTCCGTGTTACGGTTAACTAAGGGGGAGGAATGTAATTGGTTGATTAGGCAAAAATTCATAATGCCTGGAATAAAAGGTCCAAGATCTAAGTTTCTCGCTTTACAAAAGGCAAATAACAGAAGTTGACTAAATTGGATGATTAGTTGAAGAAGGGAAGAGGTGGTAAAAATTAATATTATTCATGGTTGGTGGATGCATTATAGTGTTCGATTTGGATACTTTGACTTTAAAGGCAAAGAAACCTTTAATATTCTCAAGTTGATAATTAATCAAAGCTACTGAAAGTCCAAATATCTCCAGAAATCCCATTAATTTACCTTAAATCACAAAACAGCCGGAGATATATCTGTTCCACCGCAACTTCACTTATGGTTCCCGCGCAATGCCTTCGACAAGGCTCCTCTAAGGGTGTTGCATCAGCAACAATTCATTGCCGCCTTCAGAAAATTTTAACAATTAATATGTCAAAATATTTATTGAGAATATGATTGCTAGATATGATTATAGTACTAAGCAATTGTTAAATACATCACCTAGAAGGTTGTGGCAGTCCTAGATTCTAGGAAACTAACCTCCTCCAATTTCAGGTGATCCCGAGCAAACACACAACAGCAAAGGCCTCAAAATTTTCAGAATAATTGCCTTTTCAATTGCATTCCCAGCCATCGCATGTGCAGTTGGAGTAGGAATATTCTTATGCATGGTGGATCGGCGAGATAGAAGGATAGGGACAGGGGGAAACAGACCAGAGATAGCACAGCCTTTAGAAACTACAATGTCAATAGGGCTTGATCAAGCTACTATTGAATCGTACGCCAAGGTGGTGCTTGGAGAAAGCAGGCGAGTTCCAGGCGTTAGTGATGGGTCATGTCCTATATGCTTGTCAGACTTTAGTGTTAAGGAAACACTGAGATGCATACCTGATTGTCAGCATTGCTTCCATGCTGATTGCATTGATGAGTGGCTGAAGATGAATGGTACTTGCCCTCTCTGCCGTACTTCGCCAGAAAAGAGATCAACCAACATAGATATAGATTAGATTTTTTACTTTTTAACTGAGATACTTCAGATGATTGCAATTCCTCCCCCCCCCCCCCCCCCCCCCCCCCCCCCCCCCCCCCACCCCATCTTTGGAGTACTGAGCACATGATGTACTAGAAGCGTGAAATAGCATCTTATAGACATGTACAGTATAGTTATTTAATGACCTTGTTTCACCAGTTCATTCAAAAAAAAAAAAAAAAGTGAAATAATCTAACATCAAATAAGAATGTCAAAACGTCAAGATGTAAGCATATGACATTGCGTTGAATGCTTAAAAGTCATAATTCATACTGCACACTGGATTATATTAGTGTAACGGATAGAAGTCTGACACGGTTTATATAATGAAGCTCAAACATCAGCACCTTGATTTACCAAGGGTTATCATTGTATACAGTTAGTACATCAAGATGAAACTACAGTGAGACTCTCTATGCAAGTAGAGCCTTTGGATGCTTAATACAGAGTATATGATATGAAAACTTATAAACACAAACTGATTATATTACAGCAGTAGCAGTATTGGAGAACAAAGAAGGCAGTCAGAGCTTTATTCGCCAGAAACAGCCTAATCTCATTTCTTAGCCAGCAGTTTCTTAGGAATCTTCTCCAGAGGAGTAGTTTTCAGCAGAAAGAGCCTAGCAGCACGCTCTTGCAAAGTGCCTCCACATTTCAATCCCCGTGTCAGTAGCTCAGATTTCAACCTTTCCAAACCAAGAACCTGAAATGTAAATTGAACATATATTAGTTCAAAATAATCTACCACCTTCTTTCAATACAGAGATCAAAATCACCAGCTATAACTAACAATTCTAGAATCAATGTAGGATGCACGTATGATAAGTGGATGTTGGGACGTATGACAGATTTCCATAGAAAAGGAGTCAACAAATATCCTATAAAATCACAGAAAATCAATGACTAATCTATCTTGCAGTGACAAGTAGTGCAAGGCATCTAATATTTTTGGGAAAAATAGAGCCAGGAGGCTATCATGAGATCTACTAACAAATCAGAAATATGAAAGAAAACGATTAGAAGTCAAAATAATCAGAAACACAATGAGATAAAAACTAACCTCCATTTCGGCAGCTGAGTTAAAATCATCTAAGTTCAGAGGCGCCTCTACTGCATTTAAGCCCCCACTATTTCCCTCATCAGAAGAAACTCCTTTGCACTCAGATGCAACATTAAGTTCAAGACCATCCGGCTCTATCAAAGTGCTAGTACCAGGCAGCTGGTCAGTAACAGTTGTGGATCCCAATTGAGGTTCAACAGGATCTTGTTCAACCACAGTCTTAGCAGAAGTAGAAACCACTTCTTCTGAAGCAGACATCTTTTCTCCGGATGACGTTTCCTCCGTACCACTCCCATTCATCTGCTCATTGCATCCACTTGGTTTAGCAGCAAATTCGGTCGTACCTTCAGCAATCATATCCTTCTCTTCTTCAGATCCACTTTCAGAAGAGCCTCCATTGTGATTATCCCCATCTGATGGAAGAGCTGAAACGGAAGCAGAGCTAGCATCCTTGCTTGAATCAGACTGGTTTCCGTTCTCAGTGACAACTGATTTCTCATTTTCTGCATCACCATCATCACTTTTTGCATCATCATCCGAGTAATCACTATCACTTTCCCCCACTTTTCTCTTCCCCATCCTGACGAGGTAAAAATAACGATGAGTTTGACTCAGCCGGATTCCAAACTTCACAATAAAATATCAAGCAAAGGAAAATAGGAAATAAGGCAAACAATTCACATCCAAGACATCAACTTGAGGCAAAGAGCAGCAAAGTTTTTGTCAATAAATCAACAAATACTTCATCTTTTCTTATCTCAACAAACAGTGATAAACTGCACTCAAAGCCATATAAAAATACTGCAGACCCAAGCTAACCTATATAGAAACTCAAGGCATTCAACCGACAACAATGAAGTACTAGGTTCTCCATACTCCATACAAAACACATCTAAAAATTCACAAAGGGATCCAAAGTAGTCAGATATGAGATTCACTAATACAATCACAAAAATAACAAAACATTTCTAATTGGAATTCGAACAATTGCAGTTATACACAAATAAATAAACATTTGATCATTCATTCATCCACCAAATCACTTATTTTAACATCAACTACAACTACAAAAAACTAGCAGAAAAACTATCAAGAATTAACTAACACCCATTAAAACCCAACAATTTAATCAGCAAGACATACAATATACATTAAATCAATCAGCCTGAAACATAGTTAACAAAACAATAACACCAATTGAAACAAATTAATGATTTTTTCTAAAATCATTCACTTAATCAACCTGAAACAACAAGTTAATCAAATCATTCACACCAATTAAAACAACTTAATTAACAAAACTGAAATATATTTAAAATAAACTCACCAAATCTTAGCTTTTTTAGCATCAGCATCTTTCAACTTCTCAAGCAATTTCCTTTTCTTATTCCCAGCACTCATCAATTCTCCCATAGATTCTTTGACAGACCTCGCAACCTCTTCAACACATCTTTTAGAATCTTCCCGATACTTCTCGACATACTTCTCAGCTCCTTGTTCTTTCTTCCCTCCTTTCCCTTTCTTCACCATCTTCTTCAAATAATCATCCGCCATTTTCTCCAACTTCCTCTCCTCTTCCTCTGCTTTCCACTCCTCCAACCTCTTCTCCGCATTCACATGCCTCAACCTCCGCCCACTCATATCCCGACACGCGTCGAAATTGTTCGTCTTCTTCTGCCCCGCCTTCGTCGCCGCCCCTCGAAGAAGGGACCCGAAACCCCCTTTCCCACCGAGGAGAGAGAAATTGAGGTAGATTGTAGAGAGAGAAAGGGATTTGGGGGAAATTGGAGTTGAATTTGAGAGGAATCTTCCATTTAGGGTTAGGTTTTGGGAATCGGTGGGGATTTTAGTAAGGGATTCGATCTGGTGCTTGATTGATTGAGGTGTTAGGGTTTGATGAATTGGGAATTGAAGAGTTAGGGTTTTGTTGTCGAAAAGTTTGACGAAAAATTGGATGAAATTGGTTTCCGCCATTATTATGATTGTTGTGGTTTCTCTCAATCTGACTTCTGATCCGCCAACCGTGTTGGGAACTAGTACAAGGAGAACAAGATAGAGCCAAAAAGGATTGAAGTAGCTTGTACTTCGTTTAATTATGTATCCCTCCGATTTTAATCAACTACGGAGTACGACCCTACCGTCCCTACGACTATAATAATAAAGAGTATTAGGTTGTGTCCGTGTTAATGTAAGCCTTTACATAAAAGTTTAAAAGATACGGAGTAATAAAATATAGCTTTGGCGGAAATTGACCTCCTTAATTGATTTATTCGCAGGTGGTTTCAAAAAAAATATAGGAAAAATTATTTGAAAAAAGGATTTCGCTAACGAACGCCCCCGGGCGGTGGATAATCATTTAAAATATTATTGTACCTAAAGTGGTATTAAATTAGGAAAACATGATAAAATCACGCGTCGATTGATGTAATTAATGATAATTTTAATTTAATCTTTCTAATTTTAGCTAGCTTATCCAACGCCCCTGGGCGTTCGTTAGCTTTTGAAAAAACTTTTTATAGCAACTTTTTGTCAAAAAAAAATTATATATTTGGTAGATTAAATCCAGATTGTAAATTTTTAAATCAAAAACCTCTAATTCACTTAATTACCCTTTGATTTCCCCCTAATTCTTCTAATAACCCTCTAACTTTTTTTTTTTGTTTGGAAAGGTACTTTCTAACTCACTTAATTATTCAACAAACACCACTTATCTTTATTCTAAAATGTGTATTTTAGTTTTTTTTTTTTTTTTTGAATAGAAATGTGTATTTTAGTTAGGGTTATGTCTAACGAGAATAATGTTCTACCACAAGCAATTCATTGATTTGCAAATTGAACCAAAAATTTTAAAAATTGTCATGTTGTGGAAGTCTATTGCCGGAGTTATGTGATTCTTCCGTTTCACTAAAATTGCAACACTTAACTTTTCACGCATTGAGCAACCCGACTAATACGAAGTAGTAGTCTAATACTTTGCACAAGTAATTGTAACACTTAACTTTTCACGCATTGAGCAACCCGACTATCTAGTAAAATACTCCGCACAAGTAATTGCAACACTTAATTTTAACCTTTTACGCATTAATTAATCTGAATATCTAAGTACGTACAGTTTAGGAATCTGAGTAGGAAATTTTCTTCGCAAAAAACGGAAGTAGAAACTCCTTCAATCTGAGTGCGTAGAGTTCAGAAATCGTTGATTCTTCCCCAATCCTTTTTCATCTGACATTACTCAAGCAGTTCAACCCTAAATTCTCTCAATTTTGATCAGATGAAGGAGAAAGAGCAAGGTAATAATAATAAAGGGAGGAACTTTGAGGCTGACCCCCATCTTCCTAAATGGGTTTGCCAGAATTGTCATCATTCTCTCTCCATCGTCGGCGTCGTCGATTCTTTCGGTTAGGGTTTCTTTCCTTTTTTGGGTTTTTGTTGATTTAATTTTTGTTTGTGATTGCGGAATTTTGAATTTGTTCTCAATTGTTGCTATTTCTAGCTGTTTGTTTATGCAATTGGCTTGATTAGTAGTTGTTAGTGAACAAGGTTCGTGAATTGTGATGTAATTCGAATTGTTACCTTAGGAATTATGTGGGAAATTTAAGGTTTTAGGGGTTTTGCCCCTTTTTTCATATAGGATCAATCTGAACAATTTTGGAAAGGGAGCATGAGATGGGATTGAATTTTCAATATGGGGTTTTGTTGAGTAGGGTGTAATCCGTTTATTGTGGCGGTATGTGATGTTTAAGACAACTTGCAGGGTTACAGGGGTCATCAATTCAGGGGGCAGGCAGTGTATTGGCTTCATCACAAATGGACCATTCATTTGTTGTGTTGCCACCGGAAAAGAATCAGTCGCCTGGTGCCCCTCCCCGGTCCCGTGGTGGTGGGGTCCAGCCAGAAACACCTCCGTCTGGAAAGATGATGGATGAATCATTTGTGGTTTTGCCTCCTGCGCCTGCATCTGTATACCGGAGTGAATCCCAAGCAGATGGTGGAACACATGCACAATCTGCTGAAGGCAGTACTAGTGGCCAGTTAAACCCAGGGACTTCTGGGTTTCACTCGACTATAACTGTTCTCAAACGTGCTTTTGAAATTGCCACTGCACAGACCCAGGTGTGTTTAACATCTTCCACAATCATGTGGATGTATGGGGTGGGGTTTTCAGGGGCTGTTTAATGTCAGGATTCCCTCCTGACCGTGGCAGTTGCTTTTAGTATGTGGGAAACTTATCTTGTTGGAAGAAGTAAGCCATGGGTCTTGGCATTTTGAACATTCATTAGAACAATATTCTTGCTATTACTCTTTTTGTAGTCAATGAATGTTCTCTTGTTTTGCTGTCTCCTAGGTGGAGCAACCATTGTGCCTGGAGTGCATGAGGGTGTTGTCAGATAAGCTTGATAAGGAGGTTGAAGATGTCAACAAAGATATAAAAGCTTACGAAGACTCCCTTCAGCGTTTGGAAGGTGAAGTTCGTGATGTCCTTAGTGAGGCTGACTTTCTCAAGGAAAAATTAAAGGTGCTCACCCTGCAAGATATTTTCCACATTAGATATATTTTTCTTACGTACGATTAAAAGTTAAAGGTGTCACATGAAGAGATGCTAATCGTATTAGTTAAAAAATTTCTAGGAGATGTTTTCATTTCTGATATCTAGGGTACAACTTTATAATTTGTTGCTGATAGTTGATTTGAAATTCTTCTACCAAACTAGCGCAAATATAATTCACAAATACAATTCTGAGTGTTGGAATTGCAACTAATTATCTCCCCAATGCTGGTCAAGGTTGAGGAGGAAGAAAGGAAGCTTGAAGCTGCAATTGCAGAAACAGAGAAGCAGTGCTCCAAAGTAAATGCTGAACTGAAAGAATTGGAAATGAAATCTAGCCGTTTTAAAGAGTTGGAGGAGAGGTAGCCTAATTTTCGTCAGAAAGACATCGTTTAATTTGTTTTTGTTTTTTTAATTCCTAATGGAGAGTGTATTTGTCTTTTAGTTATGTTTCACGGAACACTTTTGTTTCAGGTATTGGCATGAGTTCAATAATTTTCAGTTTCAACTTATATCACATCAGGTATGCTGCATCTGCATCTGGCCTGCTTTTTTTATTATTTGTAAAAATTCCATATATTTGTGATCACAACTTTGAAGCATTCATTTGGAATGGTATGTTTCTGGCTTGTCTATATTGGTCATATCTTCAATCCATGCGTTAGGTTAACCAGCATCCAGACGTTGTAGGAGCGTCCGAGATTTGTTGTTTTTTCCTTTTAGCAGCTCTTAGCTTGTGCTTTATGGTTATAATCTAAATTTTTTTTTGGAAATAGGAAGAAAGAGATGCTATATTAGCAAAGATTGAAGTATCACAGGCACATTTGGATTTGTTGAAGCGAACCAATGTCTTAAATGATGCTTTCCCTATATGGCATGATGGAGAATTTGGGACAATCAATAACTTCCGACTTGGACGACTCCCTAAAGTTCCGGTATGAAATTTCGCCTTGGAGATACCTTTCTACCTAGTGCTCCTTCTTTTGTTGCTGAATTTGTATACCTATTCCAGTGCATTAATTTTGGGGCTAAGTTACTATTGAATTGATGCTGGAGAACATTTCCTGTTTCCCCCCTTTTCCTTTTTTTATTTTATTTTATTTTTCTTTTGGGAGGGGGTGGGGAAGATTTTTCAGTTCCAACAAATGTGTCCAAGATTGTATTCGGATCAAGTTAAGAGGTACTGGCCACCTCCAATACTAGCCTAAAGAGTTTACTTTGATCCCCTGCAAATTTAATGCTCAGACTTTCCCAATTGCCAACGATGCTGTTTTTCTCTTACATAGTATCATTATATGAAGTACATAAATTTGTAATATTTTGCTTCTTATTTTTCCGTAGTACTATAATGTTTCGAAGCATGGAAGTGTTGGGTTTCATCAACTATTGGAAGATGAAATTCCAAATGAGACTTTTTCCTCAAAAAAAAAAAAAAAAAAAAAAAAAAAAAAAAAAAAAAAGTTCCAAATGAGACTTTATTAAATTGCACATAGTAAATTTTGTAGAGATCCAAATTGGGTCTCACTGCTAAAGTTGCTTTTATCAAGCAATGTGATTTCTGGATATACACTATTGAAAATCTATAGTTTTAAAATAGTTGTCTTGTTGCCTCAGCTTTGTAGAACTGCATATTTGTGCTTCCTAGTGCTTTTGTGTGCATTAATTTTCTGTCTTAAGTATTCAATAGTCATTATTTAATCTTGTCTACATATATCTGTGAAATGCTTAATGCTTTTATGTTAAAAGATATTTTACATATATACCTGTCTGCATTAGTCAAGGATTTCCATTTCCTTGTTATGAATATTTTCTTCTATATATTTGAGTAAGAATATTATTTGTGCCTATATTAGACCCATCCTTAACTTTAGTTATCTTATTTGCATGAGTATTGACTGAGTAAAACATATAGGCAAGTGAAGAGATTAGGGTGTTTTGATCCAGTATTTTGCTACTTTCAGGCACATCATGTAAACATATGCTGTAAATTTTATTATTTGTGCAATAACTCATTGTTTTGTTCTTTTTTAGGTTGAATGGGATGAGATAAATGCTGCCTGGGGCCAAGCTTGCCTTCTTCTCCACACAATGTGTCAATATTTTACTCCAAAATTCCAGTATCCTTTATGAATAGTTTTATTAGCTGTCCGATATTTCCTTCAAATGTTATATTTATTGTATTTGAGACAGCAACCAGGGATGGTTTCCTTCAAAAGGAGAGATTCTGAGATTTGTTGATTCATGCTAGAAGTGTCCTATCCATTGGGATAGTATGCTATAATAGGTGTGTCCTTCTCTAGGTACTAATTGTATTTGCTATCAACTTTGGTTGATGTATTTGTGCTTAATATAAATAAGTAAAGATAAAACTAAGTGGGTATTGTCATTGATAAGAGATGAATAGTTGTTTGATTTGCATTTTGATTGTCGTTATAGGAAATTCCAGCTGCGATTTGCATTGTGGTTTTCTTTATTGCACCTCCTTAGGCTAATTTTGTAGTATGCTAGTTCCAGCTACTCTCAGTGTGTACCCCCTTTGGCATTTGCAGGATGCGACATGTCTTAAATGACCCTTTATTGATGCATTCCCACACTCACTATAAATAGAGGCGTTTCAAAAAATCCAATCATTAACTAGTACAACCTTTAAAAAAGTGAATATATTTGAATACAAATTGTGTATGCGACAATTATTTTCAGATTGAGAGACTAGTAGAGACTTAGAGAGGCTGTTTATGAGTAATTCTGTATATGCTTCTGCCTCCTGTAATTTGTAGTTGTCTATGGTATGGCACTTTGTTTTATCATGCATTATGGGAATATAACTTTCATATTTATGGTATTATGAAGTTTAACGATGTAACAAGCATCTGCTAAAAATCAACATATGAAGAAAAAAAGAAGTTATGTTCACTTGTCTTGTTAATGAGTTGCTATTGCTATTGTTGTTGTTGATTTTTTTTTTTCTTTCTTTCTTTTTTTTCTCCCTGTAGTGTTTCGTTTAATTTGCGTAATAGCAGTCATGTTTTCTTTAATCTTGTAATTTACAGTTACAGAATTAAAATACTTCCTATGGGAAGTTATCCTCGAATTATGGATACAAGCAACAACACTTATGACTTGTAAGCAGCAAACTACCTCTTTGCACTATTTCTTTGAGATTCAGTACTACTCAGTATATTCATTTTTTGGTACTTGTTTCTAGCTTCCATTTTTTATGTGCAGATGAATTGACAACCAAGTTTTGAAAGTAATTTTTACATTAGCAAATTAAGTAATAATGACCAAAAGAAGTGTTTTTTCTTGGATTTATCCTTATCAATATAAGGGCATTCTGATTGGTTCCTTTGCTGGATGTGTACAGTTCTAATCATAAGAGATTAACTTGTAGAAATTCTGTGTCCCAAAGATTTTCAGTAAAGTACTAGGTGAAGAAATGACAGGGATGAAAGAGTTAGATTTGGGGGGGGGTGTAACCGGATACATGCACTAACCCATTCACCATATGCTAAGCATTAGTAGATGCTGCCATAAATCCAGCTGTTTAATAGCTGTATGTGGCCGGAGAATCTTGGAGGGGATTTAGTTTATATATAGATCTCATAGTTTCAACTCTAATGTTTAGTTTGTTAAAGTCTAATTTTTTTTTTTTTTTTGAATAGGTTTGGTCCTGTAAACTTGTTCTGGAGCACTCGGTATGACAAAGCGATGACACTGTTCTTAACATGCTTGAGGGACTTTTCAGAATTTGCACGGATGAAGGATCTGGAGAATAACATACCTCCTGATAAGTGTTTCAAGCTCCCATATAGGTAATGATAATTTTCTGCTTGAAATAATTCACTTCTTTTTATTTTTTTTTTGTTCATATCTTTTGTACATGCTTGGAATTTTGATGGCCAATTGGCCTATACCAAAAGATTTAAAAGTTAGTAATGTATTGCTGTGGCCGCTTGTGCTCAAACTGCTAACTTATCAGTGCCCAAAGACTAAATCTATTGCCTCTTTTGTCACATACTATCATTCTATATGATTTGTAAAAATCTGAAAAATTTCCACGTGAAAAGAATATAAGCTTTGTAGAATGAGGGGTGGAGTTGGTTGATTTTATAACCTCGGGAGTCCAGGGTAAAGAGAGGTGGGATTGTAGATTCAGTCATGTACTCATGTAGCTTGTTGCTTGTTTCGTTAGATGCTTGAGTTATTGTTTATACAGTATTCATTTAGATTCCTTCTGGATGTCATTGTGACAACAGGAAACTTATTGATGGGTAGAAGCCATAGAACTTTTATACTTGTGGTCATTAGCTGAGTAAACTTTTAAATGCTAACTATCACATTGACTGTAATTGAATGTTATGGTGTTTAGATTATTCATAGTCTTTGGATGCGTTTTCTTTCTTGTTATAATGGGATTTAATCTGTGTTCGCTCACCAATGTATAAAAAGGCTGAAGGCGCACCAATTAGATAGGGATTTCCCTGCCTTGTATCGTCTTGACCAAGAAGGTGCATGGTCCAGGTCATGCAGTGCCTGGGCATGCTTCTTTATAAACTGATGCTTACCTTCTGATGTGGCCCTTTATACATAGTCCTATTGGCTGAGTTTTTTTCTAATTTTGAGTTAGATTTTTAACCTCTATGTCAAACTTCACAGAATTGAGAATGACAAAGTGGAAGCCTACTCAATCACACAAAGTTTTAACAAGCCAGAGAACTGGACCAAAGCTCTCAAGTACACTCTTTGCAACTTGAAATGGGCACTCTACTGGTTTGTTGGGAACACTAGCTTTCAACCTCTCTCCGCTTCCTCCCAAGCTGATGTGCCAGCTGCAGGCACTTCATATGTAAAGCGCAGTAACAATTCTAAATCTGATTCTCGAAACCCATCTGGGCAATGATGCAGATACTTGTGCTTTTTTTTTTCTTAGGAATTCTCGTGGTTTGTCTACATTTTGTATATTAAAACGAATCCTTAGACTAATCAGCTTCCTACGTAATTCTGTACAGCGTTTATAATCTCATATTGTATCTAGTGAAAGGATTTTTTTTATTTTTTATTTTTTTTTGGATCATCTTTTCTGTACCTCAGCTTTGTGAATATTTATATTAAGAAGAGATGAGAAATGTACAAGTATTTGGCAAATTGGCACCCTCAAGCTCTGTTTTTAACTCTGGGATCATGTAAGGACTGTGTAAAGAGTTCTATTTGTTTTAGTACTACTATACGTAGTTTTTGATTTACTCGTTGCTATTTTATCTGTTAAACCTCAAATGACTTCAGTTAGTGGGATTGACATTCAAGTTTCCTTGAGCTTGCTGCTAGTTTAATGATTATAATATGGTGGAAAAGAAACTGCAGTTTGATTGTTTTAGTCACAAAATGTAAAATGCTGCATGTTTTCTGCTGGAAAAAACAAGATTGTGTTCAAAACTTCAAATGCATGACCATGATTTCTGCCATAATCTAAGTAGCATAAAGAAGCTCTCTTATCAGCAGTAAGTTTCTGCGCAGAATTTTTAGCTTCCAAGCCCCAAGCACTTATATTTATAGCACAATCGGGTAACCCTCAAAAGCAGACACACACAACTTTCCTGCACCAGTACAATAAACTATTTTCGTCTACCTACCTTACATACATTTAGAGATGGCAAACAAATTTACTTTTTTTCTTGGTTACATAGCTATACTCAGCTTGCTATTAGCAAGATCAACTGTTTGTGTTCCTTCATGCGTGGATGTTGTATCAGATTCTGCCCCTTGCTTACCTTTCATTTCAAAATCCACTGATTCGCCTTCAGATTTTTGTTGCGCTGGGATTAGGAATGTGGCAGGCATGGCCAAGAGCCAGTCCGATGAAGTGCAAATTTGCGATTGCTTGAAGGCGAATATGGCTGAATTTGATTATGATCCTACACTTGTTGCTGACCTGCCTAAGCTATGTTTGGTCAACATCACTCTCCCTCCAATCAACAATACCACTGACTGCTCCAGGTAATGATTCTTTATCTTCTTTCCTACTAAACACAAATAGTATTCCTTTGCATTTCCTTCTGTTATTTTTCATGGATTCTTGCTACTGTCAGAACTCAGAAGTTTCTTACTGTATCTTTTCTCTACAGGGTTAGTTTTGGTCATGGAATAAAGAATTAGTGTTTACACTGCAGTAAGTCAGCTAAAACTTGTTCTTAATATCTTGAACACAGTTTATACTGTATGTTTCTGATTCACTGATTTTTTATGCAGGATTTGCAAGTGTCGCTAAAAATAAGTGCTCGGTCAGTTATGAGAGATCATCAATAATGTTAGTATGAAAATATATGAGATGAAATAAAGCATCATTATGCTATCAAATAATGGACTTGTGTCCAATTATTCTCCGTTTTGTAGTTTCTGGATTACTGGAAACAGATGATATATAATTGTCTTACTTATATATATTAGCGGGTTCTTATGATCTTTGCTTGCAATTCATTACTCAAACTGTTTTTATGCTGATTATTAGCTACCTGAGACAGTTTGTGAAAAATGAAACGGAAATAATACCAGTGTATTTGATTGATAATACGAAGTAGTAAAAAAAAAATGAGGTTAATTAACTTGTAAAAGGCCAGCAAAACATTGAAACAGACTAATGAATCATTCCAAGACAGTGCTCTTCTGTACTTGATTGATCAATTAAAAGAGAGAATTCAATTGGGGGCAATTTTACACTAGGCGTTGCGAAAACGCAAGCAGTTGAAACCTGTCAACCTTACCTGTCTTTCAGGGCTCATACTTACCTACATTAGTTGATACAAACAAGGAAAGGACTAAAGAGACAAATGTGTTTAACCAAGCTAGAAAATTGGCATATTTTGCTTGTCTAACCCATGTCATGATGTTTTTGTGAGAGCAAACCCCCAACCTGAGGGATCGAACAAATACATTAATCAAATCCTCCGTTAACATTGCAACAACCTAAGACAGATAATTCTTAAATCAAATGACTATACTACTCATCTCTCATAGAAGGCAGTGAGCTAAATCATGGGCGCGACCAGAGTGACAGAGCCCGAACAACTAAACCTGTTCATTTCAGAACTTACATTCTGAAGTACGATTTTTTACTGCAAGGTTGCTTATGGGATCATGGATTTGACTTCAGTTAAAATGTAAAGTAAATCAGATTACGTAAACAGATTAGGGTGCTCCTAAGTAATCAGTTTATCACAACACAACAAAAACCAACCCATTCAGTTATCTACAAGTCATATGGTAAAGTATTTTCAACTTCTTATTCTCCAAATATAATTACATCACAATATCTGTCATTATTCGTTGTTTTACCAAATCAACTATTATAATCCATTGTTTGCAGCAAAAAAAACTATTATAATCCGTTATGAAATCGCACAAGCATTCATGTATTGACAAGTTTAGTAGTTTACAGTTAACAAACATATATTGGTCATTATAAAAAAATCTTCTAATTAAGAAAATAAGTTTAGGAGATAATATTTTAACCATGTTTATAATAATAATTAAAAAAATTATTTACTCCTAAATTACCATGGCTATAGTTCAATAGTTGTAAAGCATGAAAATTAAAACACGTCAAATTATTAGGAAAATAACTCACATGTGAGTTGAGACTAGTTGTCCCACATTAAAGAAATAAAGGAAAAGTGACTAAATAAATTTGGTGGGTCAACCCACCTTATTAATAATTACAAAGTATTGGTTTTATACCACAACCTTAATTGCAACCACAAGCCCCAACGGCCCCCAAAAATGACACGCGCTAAGCCACACACTAAAATAAAGACTTGACTCGATCATTCCAAGTGTACATGGCAACACAAATTTTTTCTTATTAGCTCCAACCAATTGCCAAATGCATGACACAAATCTTGTACCAACACGTATCAAAAACCTCTTGCCTCACAGTTATATATACTTAATATTTGTTACATGAATGAAAAATTGCACTTTGTAAGTTGGACTAACTAGTCTAACATCATTTTCTAACATCATTTTGTTACAATGACAATGCCAAAGACAAGAACTTGTTGTCTTAGTCTTGTTATTACCATTTTGTCCCTGCAACATTTGCCACAATACTACTCTTCAAACCCTGCATTCTTCCAAAGACTGTCAACCAAATGCAGAACCATTATCACAGAACTGTCACCCTGTGCGGATTTCATAAGGGATGAATCGTCCATTCCCGAAAAGGCTTGCTGCAACGGGGTGCACAACGTGGCCGGGTTAGCCAAGGGCCGATCAGGCGTGGCGAAGATTTGTGAGTGCCTTAAGCAAGGATTAGATGATACAACATATGATCCTACTAAAGTTCAGCAGTTGCCTACTGAATGTGGAGCTAATATTGATTTCCCTCCTGTTAATTTTAATGTTGATTGCACCCAATAACTTTATTACTTGCTTTCTAATATCTAAGATTGTTTTTTTTCGCAAATTATATATTTCGTGCCAATGTACGGATTAATTCCTGTTATATGTATGAATTCATGATAATTGTATGAAGAAATATGCATATAATAAGAAGATTTATATATTGTGCAAGAAATTCATGCTTATGTACGGGAGACCCACCAAATTTACTTGACAAAATTCATGCTTATGCGCAGGTTATATTCTATGTGACAAAACAATTTTATATATTGGGGGTTGGTTTACTTGGTTATTAGAAATGTTAATGGAATTTTAAAAAAAATTTAAAGGTAGTTATTGGTTATTTGATTTGAAAAAAATTAATTATAAGTGTAGGCTGCGTAGAATTGTAAGGATGAAATTTTGAAGTGTTATATGCAGTGGCGGATCCAGGATTTTCGAACTTATGAGTCACCATCAATAATTGATCACTTGTTTCAATCCAAAAATTATATTTCACCAAAATGATTTCAATCCAAAAATAGGATATAAAAATACATACTATAAAAATATTACATTAAACTAACTTTATGATTTTTTTACTTAAAAACAAGAATTATTAAAAAAAAAAAGTTAGATAACTTAAGAGACCGGTTATTAAATATAACAAGTCTCTAATGACGTGGTGGCAATAGCAGCAACAAAGAGACCACCTATCTGATATTTTAATAGGCGGTCTCTTTGAGATATAAAAAACTGACAGTGGGCTAATCTCAAATAAAAGCAAAAAAGAGACCGCCTATCTGTAGATTTTTTTTATTTTTTTTATTTTTTAATTTTTTTTTTGTGCTGGTGAGTCACGTGACTCACTGTGCACCTTAATAGATCCGTCCCTGGTTAAGATTTGAAAAATGTCACTGAAATAATTTTATAGATTGTGAACTCTCATTCTAATGATCTAATCTCGTATATTAGCAATTAGCATCATGTTAAACGGAAGGGTAATTTTGCTGCCTATTATCTCACCAGATTATTATCTTTTAAAGTTGAACAAGATTGAAAAAATCATTGTTCGTGTGAGATTTTCTCTTATGTACTTATAAAATGTTATTTTTGAATCATGAATAATATAGCATTGTTCTTTCTTCGATCATCCACCTTTAAATAAAAAAAATTGTCCTCAAAAGGTGTTAAAAATTAAACCAAATCGAGTAGATTTACCATAACTCGAATCCTAACTAGACCCGACCCAATAAGGCAATAACCCACTTTATTGACCCCTCACCTTATTCTTAGTTTTTTTACACCACTGAGGATTAAAAAAGAATAACGGAATACTTCATCATTCACTTTTTCAAATGTTGTTTTTAACATTTCTGCATTTGGTTACTTGACATACATCTCCCATGTTTTCGACCTTTAAAAATCAGCCATGATTTCAGTTTGAAATAAAAAAAAATAAAAAAAAATTGTGCAAAAATTCAGCTTCTATTTTTTGAGACTATCAAATTCTGTTTCCATTTTTCTGCTGCAAGTATTCTGTACTCTGTTTAATTCTTCAATTCCATCATAATTTTGTTAAATAAACACTTAATTCTGGAATAAACCCTTTTAGTCAGTGGATAATCTTCTGCTTTTGAAAATTAAGTTATTTAATTTGGTTGATAATTGATGTAAATGTGACTTGCTTCTTTAATTGTAAGAGTTTTATTTATTTATGCAAAGCAAGTGATTTGTTTGCTGCTCTTTGAGACTTAGCTTGGTTTTGAGCTTTTGTGTTCCAAGTACTAGTATATGGGAATTTAGGGTTTTTGTTTTTGTACGGACATTTTTTTTATACATTAATTTAGGAGTTTTGGTGTATAAATATTCAGTTATATTTTCATACTAAATATGTGCTGGAATTATTTGCATTACAATATGAAAAAGTTGATATTTTTTATTTTCAGTAGTATATACTAATTTGGTAGTTCAGCCATTTTGAACTTTAATTTGGCCTATTTTTGTGGTGGAATGGCTGGAATTTCTTGTGGGAAGTGAGTGATCTTTGTTTTGTGAGACGATGATTTAGTGCTTAATTGTAATTTAGCAGTGAATCTATCAACTTATGTACTATCCTTGGAATAAATTTCAAAGGGTGTTGTTGGGAGTGCAATATATGACTCCAGAGATTAATTTGCTGCAAATTTTCAATGTATTGTGTCTGTTATATTATCTAATCACTCCTTGCTCCATATTCAGATGGCTTGTCGACGAATGTTGAGTAAACAGATAAAACAAGGCACCCTTTTCCAGAGATGTTATCACCCGTCATTGAGCCACATTGTTCATCGCGGTGATAAAAGTGATGAGAACTCCCAATCACCATATCCAAGCCCACTCAGTCAACTTGAATGTGGAATTAGTAATAATGTTTTGTCACACATTCATAATGGAAGCAACATTGGTGGTAATGGGGGTTTTAGAGCGCATTTTGGATGGAATAAACGGTTCCCTGTTGTCATATTACCTGAAAGTGTTGTACCGTCGTTATCTAGAAAGATTTCAAGCGCAGCTGGTGAAGGATTTGATAATGCTCAACCTCATGGTGACAACATTACTAGCATTCTAACTAGTGAAAATGTGGAAGTAGTGTCCTCACAAGTTCCTGCCATCAATGAGGTAGCTGTTGCAGCTGCTGATTCTGCCTTCCCAATTGCTGCACTGCAGTACTTGATTGATGCCGTGCAGACATTGACTGGATTGAATTGGTATATCTCCTTGTTTTATTATTATATTTTTTTGTAACTCCGGCTATTTTATTTTCATCTCTATACTTTTCTTATTTTGTAGACCTTAACAACTCTTTGTGTTTGAAGTCTATTATAAGATTAAACATTTAAACCACCCTAAAAGATCAGTCTTTTGGTTTATTATGTAACAATTTGTTTGTTGATGGGGATGACAGGGGCAGTCTGTCTGTTTACTTTGATTTAGTGATATAATTTCCATTTCAAATTTTCAAGTGCTTAGTGCTTTTGAAATAACAAAACTATGTAATAATATAGCTTAAGCTCTCGAAGTATTTGCATTCTAGTGCAATATAACAAGGTGTTGAGATTGGAACTTCCGTATTTTCGGGTGGGCTAGAGTAGAGAAAAGATGTCTTTGACTGGTGAATCAGGCTATGTTATCATGTCCAGAATATTAAGGGGGTTAAGAACCTGAAATAGGCACATTCTTTTCTTTTGGGTGGAGAATAGTTTGAATTGAGGATTTCTTTGATATTTTAATAAAAGGTTATCCTACAAATTTCATTTCCGTTTTTTGTGCAACTATAAAGGATTTTTTTGCTGTGTTTTTCCTCTCACTGTGTGTGCGCGTAGGGGGGGGGGGGGAGGATGAGGTTTGAGCCTTTAGTTTGGAAGCAATACAAAGTTAATACTCATTTGCTGTGGACTCATGTTTCAAGGAAAGTTGAGTGGGTGTAAAAAAAGTGAATATACTGAGAAAGATAATGGCAGGTAGGTGTAAGAAATTTTTGGATTAAGTAAAAGAGAGTGAGTGGAAAGGTATAACTAATATGGAGTATGGGGTAAGATGTAAAACATGTTTGCCAAAATTAGAATAAATTAGAAGTGGGTACATCATATAAAAAAAAAAGAGGGAGTATAAGATGGCCAGTTAATTATGATCTGGAAACTTAGGTAATAGACTGTTAAAATCTGTAATTTGGTTTGCATGTTTTGAGGCCTCACCGAGTCACCGTAATATGAGATTTTGTATTTCTATTAGATATTTTCCTTGACATTGTCTTTCTTTACCTCTCAGGTGGGCAGCTATTGCTATAACAACTTTAATGGTTGAAGGATCAACCATTCCTTTTGCGATAAATGAGATTAGAGCTGCTTATAAACGTAAGGTGAGTCTATGTGCTTGTAATTTCGAGTGATTGTCCCTTTTTATCCCCCTTTTCTTATCTGTATAATAGCTACTTCTTTTGGATTATCATTGCCCTTATACAATTTCAAAATCTGTCAAGAGTTTATGCTATGTGATTATGGAGACTTTACAAACTTTATGAAATGGAAGAGCATCTCAGCCTTTTCACATAAAGCATCTGAAAGCTGCTTATATAAACTTAATGTGAATCTCTGTGCGTGGATATTTGAATAATTTATCACCCCCCCCCCCCTGTTTTCTTCTGTCATTTGTAAAATAGCTAGCTGCTTTAGATTTTCATTGCCACCATAACTTTCATCATCTGTCTAAAGGTTATGCTTTGTTTATGTGTTATTAACAAATAGTACTGTATGGCGGAGCAAACTTTTCTGGGAAAATATTATATTCTTCTGTTTAGCACTTTTTTATCAATTTGTATTCCAATGAATTTGATCCTTTTTTCTTAATGTTTTCTGCTTGATGCAAGGACAGTTGGACAGACATAACTGCTATGTTGAACCTCATCATTTACAGTTTTACACTGTTTATTTTATGATGTTAAATAAAATGGGTTGAAAGTAAGTCACCCATTCTTAATTATCATTGTACTTCCTCTGCTACCCTTCTTTGGTTTCTGGATTATAAGGAAATGTAGGGAGTAAGATGTTGTGTTCTTAGGCCACTTTGTGATCCATCTCTTACTTTTGCATGATGGTCTGATGCCGTCATGTGTGCTATCATTATCGTGATCATGTCAACACATTAAGCTTCTCTTACTTAGTTACTTGTGTTATTGTGATTGGCTTAAACCAAAGTGATGAAATATATTTCAGTCGTGATGCTAGTATGCCAATTCAATGTATATTCATTCCTGTGCAGTTGCTACGTTTGGAGGAGCTGAAAAAGAAATGGCATTTGGTATGAACTTCCCTTATATTGTACCACTAACTAATTGTCTATTAGATTAGATATATCATCTGAAATGAGATACTGGAAGGCAGGTTAACAATTCGTCCTTGTGTCTTTATATGATGCATGCAATGGAAACTCATATTGCTATCCTGATTTATGTATAGGGTAAGGTTTCCAAATCCGAAATTCTAAAGGAATGGAATGTTATCCGTAATCAGTAAGTAATTTTTTTTAGACTTGCTATCTATGAGATCTAAAAGATCCCCTAATTTGCACAAGCAAATCTTATTGTGTTGGCTGGGTTAGCATCTGATCTACATTTTTTTGGAATGATGAGATGACAGACTTGAAGTTTACCCGAAATTAACTCTGATTCGGGGTTCTATTTCCATAAGCTTTTTCTTTGCTGTAAGATTTCAAACTTTTAACTTATATGCATCTTGCTCTTTTAATTCAAATAGCATTTATTCTAATTTTTATCTCAAACTTCTTTGATGACATATCAGATCTCAAACATGGTTGAGAAGGTTCCATCATTGAAATATGGTGGAGCATTCTGGTTCACTGATCTTACTACTCCAGATAGTTTGTATATTTGTCCAGTTCTGACAGTACTATTATTCTTAGCCCACACTGAGGTGAGGAATTGCTATGCACTGCTGAGCACCTCTTGCTGTTGCTCCTCATATCATCTAATACCTACGTTTTTTTTAGTTGACGCATATTCTTTTTTTGGAAGTTTTTATTTATTTATTTATTTTCAGCTGACCCCACTACAAACTTGATTAAAATCAGCTAAACACATGGTCTACCCACTTGCTTTAACAAGAGAATGGGGGGGGGGGGCGATACTAATATTTCATTGTTATTTTAACTCTCTTTATTCTTGCTTACTACAATTTAATTAGTGCAACACTAATATTTCATTGTTATTTTAACTCACTTTATTCTTGCTTACTACAATTTAATTAGTGCAACATGCTGAGAAGCTTGAAAGGACATCCGTCAGCGGGTGACTTTAAGAGATGCTCAAGGACCTTTGCTATTCTTGCAGTGCCCCTTACAATGGATTTTTCTAAGGTATTTCCGATGGCATTCATCAAATGTTGATAAGACTTGTACAAAGTTTTGTAGAGAAATAAGTACAAATAGTTTATCATAGTTGCTTCATCTCATTTCACATGACTGAGATCAGTGTTTGACATGCTCCTCCACGCCACCAAGTCATCCCACTTATTGTTGGCTCATTGGCTGTACTTTGTATATGCTTTTTCTAATGGTGAAGCCTAAATTTTTTATTTCATGGAAGTTGTTTTTTTTTTCCTGACTTATTATTAGCCAAGGGGGGTTCTTAAAAAGAAAAAAGGGGAACAAAGATTAGAAATGAACATAAAGGAAAGCCATAGGCTTGTTTCATGAATTGAACCCAAGCATGAAAGCAGCTATGGAGCTCTATCTGGAGTAAAAACCATCACTATAATAGCTTCTCGAATACTTAAAAGAATTGTGCAAAGATACTGTCAAGAAATCTTTTAAGGCAGTCCCTGTCTACCAGTCCCTTCCCATTTCCTATGTGGCTAGCATTACTCTGATGTAAAACCCCACGTTATGTGATTCAGTTCGGGTTCGCATATTGATTCCTCTAAATGCATACCTGTGCTCCCTTGTGTATGAATTTCTGATTTAATTCCCTAATATTGAGGATGACAATATTATTGCAGGCATTCTTCTGTTATTTGATAACCTCCAGGCTGTTTATGTTGTCACGTGGAACAGGTGAGTCTTTGACCCTTTTTGTTAAATCTACTATTGCTTCATAGCTTTTTAGCAGTCTATTTGCCACAAATCTCAGCCATCCACGTCCATGAACACCCGATAAGTTGAGCCAGAGTACAAAACTAGTATTCGTGCCTTCTAGATGGAATTACCACAGAAATGGCCACGATTTGGTTTAGTGTTTGAAGTCCAAAGTCCAAACTGCCTGAAAATCTTGCTCCTAGTATTATATATGTTTATTTGAAATTATCATTCCTATCAATTAGGGAAACAAATAGATTTAAGAAGTTTGTTCCTCGTATGCATTTTGTATGTGGATTCTATTTGCTGAAGGTTCACAGCAGCATCATCAGAACGTTGTTCTGGTGTCCACTTTATCCTTAAGAGCTATAGAAACTTCTATAGAATTGTATGCATTGGTTAGAAATTTCAAAGTGGTTTTAATAAAGCTGATCATGGTCGGGCTAGGCCCTTTGAAAAGAATTGGGCAGGGTCAGAAAACCTAGTTGTCCCTTTTCTAAAAACAATTTATTTGCGTGCTGGTTGCAGAAAATATTACATCATTGATGAGTCATAGCTGTGAATGTCCACATTGTGATAAATTTTCTTTCCTGCAGTTTTAAAGCGCTCAGAAGTGAGAAAGTTCTTGGATCTTCCAAGAGCACCCTGTCACGACCCACACATTCCACCCCTCACTAGGGCCATTGGACGGTAGGCAACAATCGTGGCTAGGGGGAATGCCCTTGGTGCGCGCTGGCTAGGCCAGAGACACCCTCCCCCTATAGAGCTTTATATTGCTCCAGTGCTGTCACCCTAGTGAACACCCAAGTGACAGTAACACAATAATGGGCTATTTGGGGACCCAAATGAAGTCCGATTGAGCCCAAATTTGGGGGTCCACCATTTTTAGGCCCAATGAACATCATGGTGGTGTTAGATTTTGAAGGAGAAGTCCGGAAGGTTCCAGAATACTCAAGGAGACTCGAGGTGCATCCGGAAGCTTCTAGAACCCTCCATTTGAGGAGGTTAGTGAAGGTTCTAGGCCATGCTTAGAACACTATAAATAGGGGACTTGGCCTTCATTTGGAGGCATCTCAGAAAATATTTGTAAACACTCTCTCTCAAGCTATAAAAGCATTCAAAATATTTATATCCTCTTGTGTTCTCAACATTCCTTAACTTTCGTTGCATACTCTTGCTTGAAGCATTTCGGGGTTAAGCCTTGACTAGCATTCGAGGGAGGGAAGTTAGTAGGCTAGCGTGCATAAGACTAGGGGGATTAGCCAGCACGTGACAACGTGGTATCAGAGCAGCTACGGTCGCGGGGGACTATAGTGCTGTCGAGCTTTGTTAGCAAGTTGTGAGCGAAGGAGGAAGAATGGCAAAGAGCAAGGACGGCAAGGACGCTAGTGCTTCACAAACAACCGAGGGCTATGCGCCCGAGGCTCTCATTCAAGCTGTCCAAAAGCTTGAGAAGCGAGTGAATAAAGTTGATGAGAGATCGGCCAAAGCCGAAGTTGCTGCTTGCGACATGACGGATTCTGTCGGCAAGGTCGAGAATGAAGTTATTACGCTCAAAGGGCAGTTAGGGGAACTAGACAATCGTCTAGAGGAGGTATCCCTTGATGCTCAGTCACTCGCTGATCAGGCTTTTGAGAAGATGATGGGCGAGATGGCGAAAATGCGTGAGGAGTTCACGGGGGAACTCCTTGCTTTGAAGAAGGAGAATGAGCTCCTCAAGGAGGAACTCACGTTGCTAAAAAGGACTACGGTGGCTGGGGGCGCCACCATTCAAGTCGGTCCTAAGGTGGAAATCCCCAAGCCTCCAAAGTATCATGGAAAGAGGGATGCTCGGGAAATTGACAACTTCCTATGGAGCATGGAGCGATACTTTGAGGCTGTGCACTTGGAGGAGGATGCCTCCAAGATTAACGCTGCCACTATGTATCTCAGAAAATACTTGTAAACACTCTCTCTCAAGCTATAAAAGCATTCAAAATATTTATATCCTCTTGTGTTCTCAACATTCCTTAACTTTCGTTGCACACTCTTGCTTGAAGCATTTCGGGGTTAAGCCTTGACTAGCATCCGAGGGAGGGAAGTTAGTAGGCTAGCGTGCATAAGACTAGGGGGATTAGTCAGCACGTGACAACGTCCTTGAATTGGTCCCATGTTCGGATGGAACATGAACCACTCTTGATGTCTTGTTCACGCCTTCTCCACCACAGAATGGCATCATCTCCGAAGGGGACGAGGCGAAGACGGCATGCGTGACCAGGTATGGTTCTTATGAGTTCTTGGTGATGCCTTTTGGACTCACCAACGCCCCTGCTACTTTTTGCACCTTAATGAATAAGATTTTTTGGCCTTTCCTTGATAAATTTGTAGTCGTCTATCTCGACGATATCGTCGTGTATAGCGACAACTTACAAGATCATGTGGAGCATTTGAGACAGGTGTTCCAGGTCTTACGAGAGAACGAGCTTTATGTGAAGCAAGAGAAGTGCTCGTTCGGACAGGAGGAGGTGTCCTTCCTGGGACACCATATTAGAGCCGGAAAGATAATGATGGAGCATGACAAGGTGCAAGCCATCAGGGAATGGGAGGAGCCCAAGAACGTGTCGGAACTACGTTCTTTCCTTGGGCTCGCCAACTATTACAGGCGGTTCATCATGAGCTACTCAGCACGGGCGGCGCCATTGACTGACTTGTTAAAGAAGAAGGCACAATGGTGTTGGAGCGACAAATGTCAAGAGGCCTTTGATGACTTGAAAGATGCCGTCACCAAAGAGCCCGTATTAGCGCTGCCCGACTACTCAAAGCCATTCGAGCTACACACTGATGCCTCAGATTTTGCTATCGGAGGAGTTCTCATGCAAGAAGGGCATCCAGTGGCCTATGAGTCACGTAAGCTCAATGACACTGAGAGGAGATACCCAGTGCATGATAAGGAGATGACAGCTATCATTCATTGCTTGCGTGTCTGGAGACATTATTTGCTTGGGAGTCGGTTCACCATCTATACCGACAATGTTGCAACAAGTTACTTCCAAAATCAAAAGAAGCTTAGCCCCAAGCAAGCTCGATGGCAAGACTTCCTGGCTGATTTTGACTACGCTATGGAGTACAAGCCAGGGAAGGTGAATGTAGTTGCTGATGCTCTGAGCCGCAAAGCAATCTTTGCTAGCGTGAGCAGCATAGCTAGCACCCTCCTTAATCGAGTCAAGGATGGCTTAAAGGAGGATTCTATGGCCAAGAGTTTGATGGACTTGGCTAACGAGAGGGAAAGACCCAACGCTTCTGGATAGAGGATGGGATACTCTACACCGTCAGACGTCGCACCTATGTGCCTAAGTGGGACAACCTTAGGCGGGACATCATGAAGGAGTGTCATGATTCATTATGGGCTGGTCACCCTGGGATACAGCGGACAATGGCACTCTTGGAGGAGGTATACTACTGGCCTCACATGCGGGACGATATAGAGGCCTATGTGAAGACTTGTCTTGTGTGCCAGCAAGACAAGGTAGAGCAACGTGTGCCAGCAGGACTCTTGGAGCCCTTGCCTATACCAGAGAAGCCATGAGAAAGCGTCTCAATGGATTTCATATCAGCCTTGCCCAAGTCAGAGGGGTTTGGCTCTATCATGGTAGTAGTTGATCGCTTTTCCAAGTATGGGACTTTTATACCGGCACATAAGGATTGCACAGGGGAGCAAGCCGCCAAGTTATTCTTCAAGAATGTGGTCAAGTACTGGGGCTTGCCAAAGAGCATCGTCAGCGACCGTGATCCAAGGTTCACCGCCAAATTTTGGACGGAGCTTTTCAAGTTGCTAGGGTCAGGTCTACATTTCTCCACAAGCTTCCACCCGTAGACGGATGGGCAGACAGAACGAGTGAACGCTTTGTTGGAGCTCTATTTGAGGCATTTTGTGAGTGCCAATCAACGAGATTGGGCAAAGCTCATAGACATTGCCCAATTCTCCTTTAATCCGCAGCGGTCCGAGGCAACCCAGCAAAGCCCCTTTGAGATAGTCATGGGTCAACAACCCTTGACTCCACAAGCAGTTGTATCGGGCTACACGGGTAGCAGTCCCGCTGCCTACAGATTAGCTAAGGGATGGCACGAGCAGCTCGACATCACCAAGGCTTACTTGAATAAGGCCGCTAAGAAGATGAAGAAGTGGGCCGAAAAAAACAGGCGCCCATTGGAGTTTCAAGAAGGCAACCTAGTCATGGTGAAGCTCTTGCCGCACCAATTCAAAGTCTTCCGCAAGGTGCATAAGGGGCTAGTGCGGAAGTATGAAGGGCCATTCCCGATCATTAGGAAGGTCGGGAAAGTTTCCTATAAGCTTGAGCTACCTCCCAAGCTGAAAATACATCCGGTGTTCCATGTTAGCATGTTGAAGCCTTACCATGCCGATCTAGAGGATCAGACCAGGGGAAAATCACAACGGGCACCTACGGCCGTGGTAGCATCGTTTGAAAGGGACATTGAGAGCATCGAGGCAAAGAGAGTCATAAGGCGTCGAGGTGTGCCAAGCTACAACGAATACTTTGTTCGTTGGAAGGGTCTCCCGGACAGCGAGGCCACGTGGGAAAAAGAAGAAGATTTATGGCAATTTGCGGACAAGATCGAGGCATTCGAGTCGGGATCTTGACGAGGGCGTCAAGACTTAGGTGGGGGAGCATGTCACGACCCACACATTCCACCCCTCACTAGGGCCATTGGACGGTAGGCAACAATCGTGGCTAGGGGGAATGCCCTTGGTGCGTGCTGGCTAGGCCAGAGACACCCTCCCCCTATAGAGCTTTATATTGCTCCAGTGCTGTCACCCTAGTGAACACCCAAGTGACAGTAACACAATAATGGGCTATTTGGGGACCCAAATGAAGTCCGATTGAGCCCAAATTTGGGGGTCCACCATTTTTAGGCCCAATGAACATCATGGTGGTGTTAGATTTTGAAGGAGAAGTCTGGAAGGTTCCAGAATACTCAAGGAGACTCGAGGTGCATCCGGAAGCTTCTAGAACCTCCTAGGACATCCTTGAATCATCCGTAAATTCTAGAGTTGAGTAGATAATTCTAGAGCCTTGTACATAGAAGGAATGTACTAAAGAAATGTATAGAATAATCTAGAAAGGATTAGATCTAGAACCCTCCATTTGAGGAGGTTAGTGAAGGTTCTAGGCCATGCTTAGAACACTATAAATAGGGGACTTGGCCTTCATTTGGAGGCATCTCAGAAAATACTTGTAAACACTCTCTCTCAAGCTATAAAAGCATTCAAAATATTTATATCCTCTTGTGTTCTCAACATTCCTTAACTTTCGTTGCACACTCTTGCTTGAAGCAATTCGGGGTTAAGCCTTGACTAGCATCCGAGGGAGGGAAGTTAGTAGGCTAGCGTGCATAAGACTAGGGGGATTAGTCAGCACGTGACAACCCGCTCCTAAATCTTTTCCTCGTACATCCACCTCACAGTCCCAATCTGAGTCTTCCTCAGATTCAACAATTCAACAACATAACACGAAAAAGGAACCTAAACAGCCTGATGAGCCATGAAGTTGCACATTTCTCTTATTTCTGTTCAGTACGAGCTAGCAATTGTGAAACAATCAGATAAAAGATCAGATTATCTTGAGGCATAGGTCCAGTACTCCAGTCCTGTGTTCAAGTTATAAGGCCTCAGGAGCACATTTCTGTTATTTCTGTCCAGTACAGGCTAGCTATGAGCCTGTGACTTTGCTTCCATTGCTTTGTACTTCATTGCAGTTGTTTAGAGTTATGATATTTTGTTATATGTAATAGAAGACCTAACACAATAACACGCAACGTGTCATGGGAATCCATATAAGTGAGCGTGTGTAATTGAAGCCGTATTCTGTAAGGGAAGGTAGAAATGCGCATGTAAACAGTGTATCTACTAAAAGGCTTCAATCTATTGTACTCCATATTATCGAGATTACGGCATGAATCGGATCCTTTCTCTAACACGATGTCATGAAAATGAAGTAGGTATATTTGCTATATTAATTAATGATATTCCATTATCCTTCGTTCTAATCATTTACTAGTACTTAATATGAATTATGTGCATATGCTTTCTTCTTCTTCCCCATATTTTGACCTAGTGTTTTCTTTACTTGTTGTTTATTGGTTTGGTGTTACAGTAGTTAGCAATATTAGCTTGCATTGTCTAGACGTGTTTTAAATAACATAGAGTACATTTTAATCTCTTAAATTTTCAGTGGGACAAATATTGAGAACAAAGTGAGTATTTTACAAAAGCTAATCCCAATACACAACTCAAACACTAAGGGCTGACAACTAGTATGCTTAAACTACTACTCTGTATCATTGAAAAAGAATGAAAACTAAAAATTCCATTAAATCCCTATTCATTCTTCTTTTAAAAATTTGGACTCTTATAAATAGTATTTAAACAATTATGTAGACATCTTTACAAGTGTGTTATGGTTTCAAACCACCTTATGGCTTATATGACCACAAGAGTCCCCCCAGACATTCAGTTCATTTTTTTTTTTGAAAAAATGTCAAAAACTGATCCGAAATCGTGCATTCAATTTTAGACAATTTTTCACTATTTTAGACTCGGAAACAAAAATTCTCGAGATGCTTCCCATGGACCCTAATACACCTCGGGAGTCCATTTGGGTGGGTAAAACCATCCAATATGTCTTCAAAATGTCAATTTACTCGTTTATAACTTGTACCGATTTCATAAAACTCGAGGCTACCACAAACATTTATAACATCATAAAATGATCATATATGGTTCCAAACGACATTATATGACCCTAGAATGTATCCTTTGGTATATCGAGACTTTTCGACACCGGGTCCCGAAACCTCCGAAATTGGCCAAAAAACGTGTATTATAGCTTTCAATTTTGCCAATTTT